CCATTTAATGGATTAATAATTTAAATAGACTACCAGGTGGTAACTTTAGGCAGGTGGAGCATGGCTGGATAAAGTAGGTCACTGGGGGTATGCCCTTGGGATCTTTACCTATCCCTGGCCCCTTCTTTTTTCTCTTTTTGCTTCCTGGCTGCCATAAACTGAGCAGATTTCCTATTCTGCCATATTTGGCCTCACTTCAAGCCCAGAGCAATGGAGTTGGTCAACCATGAATTAAGCCTCTAAAACCATGATCTCAAATAAACTTTTTCTCCTCTAAGTTCTTCTTGTCAGTATTTTGGTCACAGCAATGAAAAGCTGACTAACACAGAAATTAGTACCAAGAAATGGGATCCTATTTCTGTGACTAACCTGACCATGTGGCTCATATGCCTTTGGTAGTGGTTTAAGGACTTTGGAAGGGTTTGGAGATGCAGAATAGAGAAGCCTTAGAATATTATAAACAGAGCTCAAATGGCGATTCTGGTAGGAGCTCAGAGGACCAGAATGCCAAATGGTATATGAACAGTAAAGACTGTGCTCAGGAGGTTTCAGACGGGAATTATGATTCTATTGTGAATTACACTAGAGGCCATTGTGCAGCATCCTGGCAAAGAACTTGTCTACATTTTGCCCACATCCTGAGATTTTTCTGTAAGGCTAAATTTAAAGGAAATGGACTAATTAATCTGGTAGAGGAAAATTTCAAGGTAGAACAGCATTCTGGCAATGGCATGAGTATTGCTTGCAGCTTTTAGCCAGCTTTAGTGTGATAATCAGGAGCAAAAGGCATAGAGGAAAGATTTTTTAAACTTGCAGTTTGGCCTGAAAAGTACATGTGACTGCTGAAGATTGCCACTACTGAACAGAAGCTAACTACTTTGTATGGACAATAGAAAAGATGTCTTGATGGCATCTCAGGAATCAACAAGATCACACCCATTGCAGGTTCAAGGGTGTTAAAATGTAAACTGTTTAACAAGACCCCAGGGGTACCCTATTTACACAGGAATACCTAGGAAGTTTTTACACAGAATACCTAGGAAGTTTCCTCAGGATTCCTTTCACAGTGCTTGGCCATTCAAGTGCTTGGATGCTGCAGCAGCCATGGTCCAAATGGGCCTGGCTACTGTGCCAGCTAGTGATAGACTTTGACATCTATCATGTGATGCTGGTTTTATAGGAATGCAAGATGCTAAAGTTAGGGAGTCACAAAGTTTCCACTGAGATTCCAACAGAAAACCTATGATATCAGGCAAAGTGTGTCAGGGCCAAATCCCTGTAGGCAGCACCTGAGAGGGCGATGTCTGAAGCAGGGAAAGTAATGCCAAAGCTGCATGGAGACCCCAGAATTAAGAGATGCCAGGAATGTGGAACATCTGCTGAGAAAAACGACAGGAAGTGAGCAGAACCAGACAAAGAAAGAGGCCACATGGGCTGCAATCAGTAAGGTCAAAGGGGTAGAGCTGTCCAATTCCTTTGGGGTCCATATCACACTAGTACAAGTGATGCCCCAGATCCCAAATGCAGAGCTGCAGTATCTAATGTTTTTCTGGCTGTCTGGTGTTGGTTTGGTCCCATTCCTTCTTTCTATGCCAACATTCCTCCCTTTTAAAATGAAAATGTTCATTCTGTGTCATTATATATTGGGCATATGTAATTTGCCTTTGATTTTTGCAGAGACAATTAAAAGTTATTTGCCTTTGGTACTGGAGGGGCCTTTGGATTTAGGCTTTGAACAATGCTGGAATTGTTATAAGAACTCTTAGACATCAACTGAAAGCATTTTGCACTGTGAGATGGAAAAGAGCTTTTGCAGACCAGAGGTAAAATGTTATGGTTTGTGTCTAGAAATATTCCCTGAAAAACTCATGTTTTGGAAGTATGGTCCCCAATACAACAAGGTTCAGAGAACTGTAACCCCAGAAGTGAGTTAATCCATTTGATGAATTGATAATTTCAATGCACTGCTAGGTGGCAACTATAGAAGGTGGGGCATGGGTAGATGAACTAAGTCACTGGGGGTGTGTTCTTGGGGATTATATTTTGTTCCTGGCACCCTGATTTATCTCTGTATCCTGGCTCTCGTGAGCTGAACAACTATCATCAATCAGGCTCTTCCATCATGATGTTCTGTCTCACCTCAGGTTCACAGCAATGGAGTGAGCTGACCACAAATTCAATTTTGAAACTCTGAACTCAAAATAAACTTTTCTTCAAGTTTTCCTGTCAGGTATTTGGGTCACAGCCACAAAACTCTTACTAACACAGTCATGGTATTAATGTGGCACTACAAAATTTGTTATCTGTTATAAAGTTTAAGGGACATCAAGGGCAAGGCCTGAGTAGCAGAAATATTTAATTAAGAAATTGAACTAGAAAATTATATGAGAAAGATCTAAACAATATTTTAAAGCTAATAACCCAGTCAGTAAAAAGGAAAGAGAATAAAGAATTTTCAAAATGTCTTAAGAGTCACAGTATATAAATGACAGACATTGGAAGCATTCGAACAAATGGTCTGCAAGGGTTCTGATCGTGGGAATATATAGGATAGCGTTTCCTGTATATTTCCAGGGAGTAAAAGGTGCCCTGTTACCAATGGCTGGAATATTCTGCAGTTTTTCCCAGGCACTCTTAGGATAACCAATGCATGCTTAGCCAGAACACATATCTAACCATAAACAAAAAATCTTACATTATAACCTGTTGTAACCTACTTGACGATATAATAAACAATAATGTACAGTGACCGAATGTAAMCTATTAGTATAAATAAAGTTGGCAGCTTGGATGAGGAGCCATTCTGCCTTTGTACCTTGCTTCTGTCTCTTTTTGATTTCTTTACAATGATCTAACTGCCTGTGGTGAGCCGTTTCTGTGWACTGTGGCCGCCATTACAAGATGGCGCTGGCTCCGCTGTAGTCTGTGACAAACACTCCTTATCAGAATGAGTTGGCACGCTGTGACTTGGCTCCCTATGAGAAAAGTCCACGTGGCAGTTGTGCATTGGGGCTTTATCTGCTTTATTAAGGCTGGGGCACACGGGAGTAGGAGTAGTGGCAGTAGGAGTAGTGGCAGTAGGAGTAGTAGTAGGAGTAGTAGTAGTAGTAGTAGTAGCAGAGAGAGAAACAAGCTAAAAGACATGTCAAAACAAGGGCCTGAATAAACTGCTGAAAGAAGATTCCTGAGTTGCGTCTTCCTTGCAGGCAAGGGGTCTCGACAACTGCCAGATTAAAAATATTCAGAAAAAACTTCTTTCTGGTAAGTACTACTATGAACTATAATTCTGAGCCAGTGCATAATATGAGCAAGAACAAAAGTATGCATTAGTGTTGGTCATGATGTTTAGATAAGGGTATATATTCATTGTTGGAAATTAAGCACACTATCAGAATTTCATACCGTGACTCACTGAAATTCTACATGTAAGTGGTAATGAGTGATAGGGCACAGTTTTATTTTAAATATTCTAGAATTTTTTTTCAAGCATTATCATAGTTTGGATATTGTTTGTGTTCTCCAAAGGTCTATATGCTGAAAGCTAGTGTAGTGGCAGGGAGGTGGTGGAACCTTTCTGAAATGGGACACAGTGAAAAGTTTTTACATCCCATTCTCAGAAGGGATTAATATAGTTATTTCAGAATCCTGGTTAGTTCCTGAAAGAGTGAGTTTTATTAAAAAATAAATAAAAAATAAAAATTCCTGGCCCCTAAATCCCTCTGACTTCTAATCTTACTCTGTGATCTATCCCTTTTGTATATACTGTCACCATGAGACAATTTGCTACATGATATAATACAGCCAAAAGGCACTCAACCAGAGCTGAACAGATTATGGCATCATGCTCTTGAACTGAGAGCTATAAAAGCTTTTCTTTATAAAATTACCATCCGTGGGTATTTCGTTATGGCAATAGAACAATGGACTAATACAAGCATTAAAAAATTGGCATTAATTGGGAAAAGTGTATAAGTAAAAATCACTTGGAATCCCAGTGGCTCAGAAGGCTGAGGCAGGAGAATTACAAGTTCAAAGCCAGCCTCAGCAACTTGGCAAGGCCTTAAGCAAGTTAAACTCTCAGTATCTAAATAAAAAATATAAAAAAGGCTTGGGAATGTGGCTCAGTGGTTAAGTGCCCTTGGGTTCAATCCCTGATACCAAAAACAAAAAAGTCTCTTTTGGAACTAGATGGATGGCATTAAGGATGTCCCTAATGCCTCTGATCAATGCAGGAAACCAAATACCTCTTTTTAAAAATTTTTTATTTATATATGACAACAGAATGCATTATAATTCTTATTACACATATAGAGCACAATTTTTCATATCTCTGGTTGTATACACAGTATATTCACACCAATTCGTGTCTTCATACCTTTACTTTGGACAATAAGGATCATCACATTCCACCATCATTAATAACCCCATGCCTCCCTACCTCTTGGTGGCCAGTTACTTCTGGAAAACATCTTAGAAGGCAGATGTGTGAAAACTAGTTATATCTTACTAAAGAAGATAATATTCTTTAGGAATATAATATTAAATATTAGACATTTAATATTCTTGATGACCACAGCGAAAACTTAAAATAGTTACTCATTTTAAACAGACACTGCTGTATTTCTGAATTCTCTGCACTAGCTGACTCACCTAGAAGATTACCAAAATTTGCATCCTGGTCCAAAGTTACTCCTGTAAGAGGACTGATCAGATTCTGATAAAAGGATGATGAACCTTAGGCTTGGGACAGTCCCAGTAAACAACTCTGAACCACAGAAAATCATCTGCACCCTTTAATGGACAATGTATATGATAATTGCATTTCACCAGGAGTTAGAAGTCATAGCATGAGAGCAAAAAAGGAAGAGGTTGGGAATTCAAAGGCATTAATCATGGATACCTACATAGAAAGCATTTCATTTGACAGCTTTACATGCTTTGTCACACCCATTTACATTATGCTAGAAACTCAAATATATTTTTGTATTAACAGTGCTCACCTTAAGAGTTCCATCTGTAGAACAGGCAAATTCCTCCTTTGATGTATCCTACAGGTTGCCTTTTGAGGATCAGAAGAGAATAACCAACTTCGATCATTTGAACATGGAGCATCAACCAACACCTACAACAGAGAAAGGCAAACAATGCAAATATGCTGTCAGGCAAGAAGTATTTAGAAAAGCTACATAACAAACAGTAATTAAAAAATAAAATTTCTTTGGAATAAAAAATATACGTGATAAGTTCTTTATAATCTTTTCTCATTAATATGTTTTAAAAATTTTTCCTATGTGGTTTCAGTATTTGGGTTTTGTTTGTTTTGTTTGGGGAAATGCAAGATGGGAGTCTTCAGGTCTACTAATGTCTATTAATGACATTTAATTATCTTGATGACCACAGCAAAAACTTAAGATAGTTACTCATTTTAAACAGACACTGCTGTATTTCTGAATTCTCTGCACTTATTTTTAAGAACATTTCAATTTCAGTTTACTGAAATAACCTTTTTTTCTTCAATTCTCATACTCTGATGTTATTCTTATATTAAAGCTGTCCAGTAGACATGTCTATGGATTAACCCAAATAATATCTGATCTTTTCCTGCGTATTCTTCAGGTACCTGGAAATATAAAACATTCTATAATCCCCAAACCCAATGTTACTGTTTTCTGTGAACTTTGTTGACCATCAAATTAAAAGTGCACCCATGTTCACTTTATCAAAATTTCCCAGAGTGCTGAGAAAATGTACTGGGCTATATCTGGGAACAGAAGGAAAACCACAATAACAAAGCAACTAAATTTTGGTACTGGGAGTCTATCAGTTTGTCATAATGTAATAAAAGTACCTTGTCAAATGTTTCAGGCTGAGCATCTCCTATTTCTCTGCCATCTGATTCAGACACTTTAATTACATTTATCAAAGGTTGTGGGATGAAAGATTCTAATGTCTGCTTCAGCCATCTCAATCTCAGTCTATCGTATTCATTACAATGAAGATACCCTAAATATAAAAGATTAAAAAGTTTCACATGAAGGCAATGCAATTGTTAAATTCTTACTTTTCAGTAAATAAATTTCAGAACAATAACTTTATCATAATTATATAGAAACTGGGCTCAGAGGTAAAAATTATAATTATCTTGTACTTTAAAAACAGAAATACATACACGTACACTATAATAGTCATACCTATATACCCTTTCAGAAGTTCTAATATTTATTCAATCAAGTCTAATTTTGGGGTAGGGTGAAAATCTAGAGAATTATGAATTCCTAAAGATGAGCTATACAACAATACTTCAGACACCGTTCTTACAGCAAAGTACTAGCTGTCAAGAATAAACAATATATTTTAATATTGGATAGATATGTATTCATCCATGGTACAAGCTATTATTTTAAATGCAGGAAAATAACATAGTATGTGGGAAAAATGTTATAGACTCTATAACGAGGAAGACAAATTATTTTGAGTTTGGAAATTTTAGGGAAGTTACTTAGCTCTTCAAGAGTTTCGGTTTCTTTGTCTGAGAATGGGGATTATCTAAGTATCTTATAGAGTGGCTGTTATGATTAAGTACAATAGACATTGAGAACAAGATGGTGGCTAAGATGCTCATTGATCCTCTCCTCCCTGAGACACCACAGCTATCCACAGATCAAACTACCTCACAAGAACTAAGGAAGGCAGGTGAGAGAATACAATGTCTGGTTTTAGTATAAAAATAAGAATAAAAGATGCAAATAAGAAGTCAGGAAAGAATAACCCATGTCACCACTCCCACAACACCAAGCAGTATGGCACAGAAAGAGACACTGCCCACTTGGGGGAGTGAGAAGGAATTAAGCGAGACCTTAGACTTGAAACCAGGACCACTATTCTGAAATCCAGTGCCTCATAGAGTCCCATAGTTCCTGTCCACAGGCAGTACTTACAGACTAAGCCTCTAGATATACCTTAGCCAGGTAGCTGATTGCCTCCACTATTTTTCTGCCAACATGGGGCAGCAGAGTGAGAAGCAATACTCTGCCAACTGGGGAACTGGGCAGGAAAGTGAGCTTAGACTTGCACTGGAGCTCAGAGCAAAGACTGCCATGATGGAGCCTGAAGTCCATGTTCTCAGTCTACAACTTGTAGATGAAGCTTCTACACCTGCCTGACATCAAGTGAAGACCTATACTCTGGTAGGACAGACTTGTATTTCAGCATGCATCACTGCCAAATTCTGTATAGGTCTGGTATACATTCTTGAGTCAGTACTGGTCTTTACAGCTGTGAGACTCAAGTGTGAACAGCTTAGCACAGCCTGAGCAAGTAAGGAAATTATCTTTACCACCCTTCCCCCAAACTTGGTCAGCATAGCAAGGAGCAACACTCATTCCATTGGTGAGTAAAACAGGAAAGTGAGCATAGGACTGCCTTGGAATTTAGTGCCAGGCTGATGATGCCTAACACTGGGTAGAGTCTAATGGTCCCTGTTCTCAAGCAGTGCCTTAGAATGGAGTATCTGTAACTGTTCTGGTACCATAGTGAAAAACCAGCCTCTACCTCAGAGCAAAGCCTGTCGAAGGAAAGGACATGACCTTTGTCCTTGAAAAGACCCACAGAGCACTCCTAGGCACATTCCCACCCTGCAAGGTTGTTTATCTACAAATAACAGGAGAGATCTCCTGCACCAGGTGTCCCTGACTCAGTCAGGCTAGGTGGAGACCCATAGCAACCCCCTAGCAGCCACCAATCAGCATGAGACAGGGAAATACCTGGSATGCCAGATGACCCTCCCAGTAGTTTATGGTGTTGGGAAACCAGGTAGTTCAGCACAAATACCCCTCTTGGCTTAAACCAATCAGTTCAAATGAATCCCCCTCTTGTAGTAACCAATCACCCCTACCCAACCTGTTCCCACTAGTAAATGTGCTAATCATGTTTTAGAGTTGTTATTTGATTTTCCCGCGGTGTGTGATGACTTGCTAAGAGATGCTATGATGTATGTGGGGGTCCCTGCCTTCTCCAAAGAGCGTATAAAACTGCTGCAAACCTTGGGCTCGGGGTCTCTCGGCATCACCAGTTGCTGTGTGCGCGCGGAGGACTGAGCTAGCTAGCCATAAACATCTCTTTGCTGTTTACATCGATCTTGGTCTCTGGTGGTCTTTTGGGGGTCCCAAATTCAAGCATAACAATAGTGTATGAGACTTCTATTTCAGTCAGCATTACCTATGCCTGGGGGTAAAGTCTTGGCAGACAGACTATACTAGTATAGGTACCTGTGCTATATTGGTCTTGGCGAGCTCAGAGTATGACTCAGTGTTTCAGTGTTGATGCCATGGGACTCCCCACTCCATTCCTCCCCGACAGTATAACACAAAGAGCAACTGTCCACTTTGGGCAAGAAGAGAGAGGCAGGCATTCAAGTTGTTGCATAAGATCCTAGAGCCAGTCCTTCTGTGATGATGCCAGAACCCAGAAGAATCCTGCAGTATCTGATCTCAGGCTTGTGACTAAATGAAGCATCTGGGTCTACCCCAGTCCCAGATGGAGGCTTGCATACTTTCCTATTTAGTCACTCTTCCAGTTCATTTAGCCAAATACCTACTGTGGATATGGGGCAAAAGTAGGCTTGGGGACCCCTCTAGCCTTGAAATAGCAACAACTTGTAGCAAACCTGGACTTAGAATGCCATCTAGTGATGAAACTGCAGAAAGGTCCACAGAGAAAATAAGCAGACTGCTTTTAATTTTTAGGGGGGCAGGCCCAAAGAAAGCCAGATTATGAAAACTAGAATAAACACCTAATCCTCTAACACAGAGACTACATTATATGCTAACAAATGTCAAAAACTTTCAGAGAATCATGGTCTCATTTATCTGATAAAATAAGGCACCAGAAACTGACCATATATTAATCAGTATCTGTGAACTCTTAGAATTCAATGAACTTCAATAAAACAATAAAATCATTCAGTGCTGTAACAAAGAATCTTAACAAATTGAATTTTAAAGAAATTGAACAGAAATCCTGTGATGGAAGGTATCACTAGCAGAATAGAAGAAAAATAATCAGTAGGCTAGGAGACAGGTTATTTCAAAATACATAGTTGATGTATTTTATACTTATAAAGTTGCTTTTTGAGGGAGGGCTGATTAGGGTTGCTAGTCTGTCATACCAATGGAAACAGAAGCCCTAATCATTGCTACATCCCTTACCTTTCCATCTACCGTCCAATGCTTTACACATAGTACATGCACACGATATATAACTGACCTAATTTTTGAAACATGGAATTATAGTAAAAATATTTTAATCACAAGTAAAAAACCAGAGCAGCATAAGTAATAACTTTAGCTTTAGTTAAGATTCTCAATTCAGCATTTTAAAATAGTTCCCARCTGAAATATAGCTTAATGCTACATTATTATTTTGCTTAAATGTATATTTTATTTTAAATGGTCTTAGGTTGGTTGAACTTCTAAAAACAAAGTGTCAAGTGGCATGTTTCCACATGTATATATATTAATATATATTAATTACATTGAGACAATTTCAATTTATGTCAAAATTTCATTTAACCAGGAAAGAAAGTAAAAAATTCCTGAAAACATTACTGAGGCTTTAGTTTCTGTACATGGCAGCCTTTGGATCACATAAAGGAAGTGAAATGGGTAGCTTCATTCATTTATTTTTGTATATCTAACTTAAGAGAAAAAAAATCCTGCCTTATTTCTAGTTCTGTCAATTATGCTCTGGTAATTATGACTGATTCCCATTTTCCTCTCAGTGTAAAAACTGGAATACTAAAAGTGCTAAAAAGGCTAGTGATAAGTTTCTCTGTACATGGAAACAATAGTATAAATTCATAAAAGAACATATGGCAATATTACATTTATTAACTTATTGATATTAAATTAGAATACTTTTGAGAGTACAACCACTTTAAGGTTCTGATTTACCAAGTACTTATTATGAACTAGGTACAGAGTTAGTTGCTGGAGACATAAAGATAAATAAGAACCCCTTCCTACACTTAACTACAGTCAGCAGTGGAATGTCACTGGGAAACCCTGAAATAGTCAATACCACAATGGTGAAACCTTGGATTCAGACCTGGGCTTTGCCAATTACCTTAGACAATTAACAGTTAACTTTTGTCTCTGTTTCATCTATAATTTAGGGCTCATAATCACCAACTCACAGCATTGTAGAATTGTGAGATAGTATATAGGGCACAATCACATTGTGGTTCTAAGCCCTAAGACTTTAGAAGATGTTTATACAGAGATATAAGTTGTTTGCTTATCAAAGCATATTTGAAAAGCATAATTTATGAAATGTGAATAACATAGTTCATGGCACAATGACTAAAATGGTCATTCTTTTTATTACTACTCCAAGGAGGATACACCTAATGCAGGGAACACAAAGATGGCTTTTTGGGGAAGTTGATTCCTGAGGTAAAACTTGAAGAAAAGGAGTTAGCAGAGGAAGAAGTACAAAGTGGTACCAGTAGAATGTGCAAAAAAAAAAAAAAATAGAGATATGAAGGAGCAGGAAGGACAGCAAAAGAAATTCAACAAAGAAAGGAGTCCTTCTGATTTTCTCTACTAGGAAAGGCTAACCAGAGGTCAGATATCACTGACAGTGAGGAGAATTTCACTCCAGGAGGGACACAGCCCTCAGCAAGAAAGCTGACCATCCTATTCCACCAAGGACAGTTCATATGTTAATGCTTTCCTGTTTAGAATCATAGCTGGTTACCTCTTTTCTATTAAAAAAGCAGAGCACTACAGAGGCTGGGATCACAAAACAAAACAATGGTCAGTTCATCACTGTGCTAACAGGTTGGAGCAGCTGGACCAACAGAAAAGTGGACTCATTTTTTCAACTGGCCTAAAATATAAGCTTTTTAATTGTTCAAAGTTGTAAGCCTCTTTTTCAAGAATAATGACCAGTACTAATCTAAAAAAAACTTTGGTGTGTAAACTGCACACCTAGTACAGCCAACA